AAGTAAGAGGTCTACAGTGTCCATTTGAGGAGAGATGTGTTTGTCTTGTAGAATATGCTAAAAGAGTTGTAAAGTATACATTGATAATAGAGTGTAAAAAATGTGTTGACATTTGGCACAGCTACATATGCAGGTTAAATTTTGATATTGACACTTTTTAAAGCGACATGTTGATCCTATGCCATAATTTAACCTGAAAGATTCATAGACATGCACATTAAAGAATAGATATTAATTTTACTTGCACATTGGTACAGTAGAGGGAAAGATATTAATCCAGTCACTGAAAAACTCTTAGGTGTCTTTCACTTAATAAAAAAAAAAACTATTTTAACTGTTACCTTGTTATTAAGTGCATTGCTGTTGCTGGTAGTTCTTTGATTTTCTGTAGCTGGTGTATTAAACCTTACTGGTCCAGGGATTATAATACAAGTAATGCAAGGTACAAGTTTATGAGCATAATTTGAACAAATTTTGCTTGAAATTATTGCAGAAAACAAAGGTAATCAGGACTTTAATGAGTAATGTATAACTGGTTTGACCAAAAAATGTATTCTCCTTGAACATTTTCTGCAAATGCAAAATTTCTATTATCCTTGACATTACGCATATATTTTAATCTTTTATCTACAATAACCCTGAGGTGCTTTTTACCAAGTAGCCTTTTTATGTCTGTACCATTTGTAAAATACTTTGAATGAAGGTTTTTGGTACCCAAGTGCATTAAATATGAACACCTTTAGTACATGAAATGTCATCTACAATTTGTCTATGAAACGCAAATTCTGATAAAGTATTTCAATAACCTCTGTATATAAACTTTCACTGCAGAATTCATTTTAGGTTACATTTTCAATACCATAACTGGGTCACAATATTGTTTTCATTTACATCTGCGTTTGTGATTGATTTAAAGGTTTCTAATCAAATCTATTTATACAGCAATTTAACATTTTATTTACATAACAAACATTAAAAGTCATACAGATACAGCATATAACCATGTTATTGAGGAAATATATTATACTATTTTAGCAGTACTGTATGATCTTTTCAATGTTTAATGTTTTACTATACATGCAAAAGAAATCAACTTAATGTAATAATAATATTATCAGTTTGTGGTAAAAAACTTTGGGGTCTATTCACAAAGCAGCCGAAGGATCTAGCCATAGCTTCGGCCCCAGGACCCCTTCGGTTCAGTAGAACCGAAGGGCTGCTGTACGGGCTATTCACTATAGCCCATACAACTCCGAACTTGGCCGAGCAGCTCAGTCGAGCCAAAGGCATATGCCTTGGCTCGGATAAGCCGCGCTGAAAGCCGAAGCTGGGCGAGCGGGCGGCCGACAGCCTGCTTCTGACAGCTGGGCGGAGCCAGTCGTAATCTTATGGCTGGCTCCGGCCACTTGCAGAGAGATCAGCGTCCCTGGTTACAAGCTGACCAGGGACTCTGATCTCCAGACAGCCTAACTCTCCCGGGTGCTCTGGGAGTCTCCCGCTCCCGTCCGCCCAGGGGAGAAGCACTGTTATTTCTTTCTTTTTATTCTGACATGGAGCCATGTCAGAATAGAAAAATATATATATATTTTTGACCATAGGAATGCATTGCTAGATTCCTATTGGCTATTTCAATTTGCAATAGCCAATAGCAAACCAGCATTGCACCCACCCTTTGCTGCAGTTCTCCATCAGGTCCCCACTACTGATTGACAGCAGCAGATGGTGGGTACAATAGCTAGCTTGCTATTGGCTATTGCATTCATATGGCCAAAAAATTTTTTTCTTTTTTTTGACAGCAGCAGAACCGCCGGCCAATAGAAAACTGTTGGGCGGAGCTAGCTGTCATTGCTAGCTCTGCACAATCATTTTCTATTTTAATTTTTCTGCTTTTTTAACAGTTTTTCTATTCTGCTCGGTACCACAGAGGTACCGAGCAGAACAGCCGAGCGCCGCTAAGCAGCATTCGGCTATTCACTCACTGCTGTTCGGCATCTATAAGAATAGACGGAACAGCAGTGAGTAGCCTGTCGGAGGTTCGGCTTAGCCGATCCAGATGTTGGATTGGCTGAGTCGAACTCCTTCTGCACTTTGGGTCGGCTGAAGCCACACGATGTACGGCTGATTTCAGCCGATATATGGTTGAAATCAGCCGTACCAGCCTGAAGTGAATAGCCAAACAGCGTTCGGCTCACTTCGCTTTAGGTCGGTCATGTACTCGGCTGCCTACGGCAGCTTAGTGAATAGACCCCTTTGTTTCTACACTAATGATGATTTTTTTCTATGTTAATGATGGCTATAGACAAAATTAGGACTCCAGCCATTATTTTAAGATAATTATACAGTGTATATTTTTCTAAACCAAAATTGTATTCATATACTAACCATAAGCTTACAGTTATAGAAAAAAGGTGGTACAAAGAAATGGCATACTTACATGCACATACACATCAAACACTATCTGTGCTGGCTGCCCTGAAGTTGAAGTAATATATAAAATAGTCTGCATACAATGTTCATGCATTACAGGTAAAACTCGAATAATTAGAATATCGTGCAAAAGTAATTGCAGTAAGTTCTGCAAAAGGAGCCCAAACCAAGTACTGAGTACATATGCATGCTTGTACTTTTCAGAGGTCCGATATTGTTCTATGTACAATCCTTGTTTTATTGATTGCATGTAATAATCTACTTTTTTGAGGTTGTGGATTTGGGGTTCTTGGGGTTTTCATGAGCTGTAAGCCATAATCATCACAATTATGACAAATCACGGCTTGAATTATTTTGCTTTGCTTGTAATGAGTCTATCTCATATATTAGTTTCACCTTTTAAGTTGCATTAGTGAAATAAATGAACTTTGCACGATATTCTAATTATTCGAGTTTCACCTGTATTTATCTCAGTCCCCTGCAGTTAGCTTAGACCATGATTCCCTCAGCAAACAGGACTTTGGGCATAGGTGGTTGCAGGAAACAGTAAATAGTCTTAGTTTAGGCACAGCAATGGCATTGGATTTTGCCCTTGGTGGAGTCTTCAAGAAAAAAAAATACAGCAAGTCCAGTTGCCTTAAATTATTTTTTTACAGATATACCATGACCTGGATGAATGAGAACATTCACAGACATACTTGGCAAAGTCCCTCTGTAGTACCCACCACTCCTGTGATGGAATACAATATCATGTTTAGTTTACTAATTTGTATTGAAGTTGCAGCCCATCACAGGAGTGAGCTTGGAGTGGTGGGTACTTTACTACCAAGGCCTGCAGCATTTTTTTTATCATTGCCAGGGTGGTCTTCCTCTTTTGCATATTCTAGTTGTTACTGGACTTGTAAAGTTAGCACAACATACCCTTTATGTTACAATCATTATTTACTTGTGTCATACAGAGGAGAGCAAAATAAGAAATTACAACTCACTGCTTTTGTTATTGTTAGGATGGATATAGGAGAAAATAGACACACGAGCAAATGGAAGAGGACCAGGATGAGAATCACCATATTTAAATGTGTAAGAAGGTGGATCAAATGTAATTAATTTGATATTCTATCTTAAATGTTCAATGAAATAATCTCCAACCTGTAACTCATAGCTGCTCAACTTTTTGCTTAGTATATTGTACAGGCCTGAAAGGGCTTAAAGCTCACCTTAGTTGCATACAAAGTAAAATGTTGGCAACCTACCCTCAGTCACTTCCAGCACTATCAAAAATAGCACTGATTGGACCAAAAGCAGCAATCACAACAGTCTGCATAATATAAGTATATATCTATATTTGATGTATCATTAAGAAAAAGATTCAGTGTAATACATATTTAAGAAATTGAGTATTGTGCATAAATACCACCTTGCCTCCTCAAGCTCTATGTATAAACCAACACATAAAATATTTGGATAAAAAAAAAAAAGCAAAATAACAATGTTAATTCTCACCCGTCCCTACATTTGTGCCTTTGATTGTCTACAGAGCTACATCAACTGGCAGAATCTTTAGCATTCAATATTTATTGGTGTGTCAAATGCCTGTTTCCCTAACTACACTATGTGGTTCCACCAGCCTACCACTTCTGGGGAGGGACACAGCAGTGACATAGCAACTCGTGGGTGGAATCACAGTGCTTGGAGGGGAATATGCTGTGAAGATTAGAAAGCTAAAAATTCTGCCAGCAGCCACAGTTCTGCAAGAGAGCAAGGTTCAAAGTGAAATGAGGACAGAGTCTGCTGGGGTGTCACTGCTATGTTGAATTTTTTAGTTTTTTAACAGAGGGATAATGTGTTCACCAATTACTGAAGTGATACTGTTTAACCTCTTGCCATCCGCCCGTTAAGAAAAAAACGGACGGACGGCTGACTCCTATCAGCGGGTTTTTTTCCTGCTCGCGCGCGCACGGGCAGGAAAGACCCGCTTGTTACTACAGCCATTAACGGCTGTTTCACATACAACTGATCAGCGGCTCTATAGCCGCTGATCGGTTGTATGGCGTGAATTTCGGAGCCCCCCCCGCGCGATCGCGGGTGCCGCCATCTCCCCCCTCCTGACCCCTCACCTTTAATCCCGGGATCCGCTGCCCCATCAGCGGCCCGGTACCGGCTCGGGAGGGCATCAGGAGGAGGAGGGAGGGAGATCAGCTCCTTGCTGTTCTCCCTCCGTAGTGTGAATGCAGAAGTGATGTGTATTACATCACTTCCGCATTCACCTGTCAGTCATCTGGCTCCTATGCCAGATAGAAGAAGCTGATGAAGCAAATCTGTGCTTCATCAGCTTCTTTTGGGGTCTCCAGGTGACATTAGGGGTCTAGGGACCCCTAATGTCTCCATAAAGAGGACCTGTCAGTGTACCTGTGCTATTATATAGGGGGATGGTATCCCCCTATATAATAGCAATAACAATAAGTGTAAAAAAAAAATCTATATAAATAAAAAAAGTTAAAAAAAATAAAAGTCACAAACAAAAAAAGTTTAAAAAAATAACAGGTCACAAATAAAAAAAAGTAAACCCCCCCCCCAAAGTTTAAGTCCCCCCACCTTCGTTTACGCACATATAAACGTAAATATGCGTCGCATGCGCCAGCACGCGAAAATGACAATTGCGCTACACATGTTACATATCGCCGCGAACTTCGCAGTGAGAGCAATCATTTTAGGGCCATCAATCACTGATAACACTAAACTGATGAGCGTTAAAAGCTTTTAATGCGTCGCCTATGGCCAATTTTGGGTAATTTAGTTTTTTTGAGGTTTCGCGCGCGTGCGCAATTTTAAGGCTTGACATGTTTAGTGTCTCTTTACCCGACTAGACCCCGTCTTTTATATTTTACCAAAAAATTGAGAAATTATAAATGTTTTAGAATTTAATATAGGGGAAACTGTTTTTTTTTTTTTAAAAATCTGTAATTTTTCCTTCATATATAAAAAAATAAAAACCCCAGTGGTGAATAAATACCACCAAAAGAAAGCTCTATCTGTCCCCAAAAAAGGGTATAAAATTCATTTCAGTACAGCGCTGCATGACGGAATAAATGTCAGTCAAAGTACCGCAGCGCCGAATACTGAAAAATGGCCTGAATGTGAAGGGGGTTTAACACCGCGGATGTCAACTGGTTAATATCAAGTCCACTTTTCACCACCATTTCAATATACTAACTTAACAGAAAAGTCACAGGGGCTGATTTATTAAAGTGGACCTTTACACTCAAAAATCAAATTCTACCAATGCATCCCTCTATGTGTGATGATTAATAATAACGTAGACATGTCATGTGTAAAATGCTGTGATTGTGAAATATTTACACTTGCAGAGCATTCACTTCTTGATTGAAAGGGCAAAATGACTTCAGTTTGCCAACACAATGCACACTGGGATTGCCTAGTCATCAGCAGAGCATTGCTGGGAAATCTCATCTGTCATCTCACAAGATTTCAGGGAAAGGCATTTTCCTCCCTTGAGATGATGTGCATGGCCACATGTGCCAGAAATCAAGGAAGTAAAAGGAGAGCTAGTAATCTGCCCTTAGTTAACATGGCCACTGTCAGAAGACTGGGGAAGAGAAATAAGGTGTGCAAAGAATACAAAGCCATCTATTGTCTCGAAGTATTTGTTTGTAGATTGTTATTACTAAACATTTTTAAAGGTGTTTGTTGTTATTTTAAAGATATGGGTAAAGGTCCACTTTAAAGGCAAATTGCTGTTCACTTTGCAAGGGAATTTATCCTTAGTTAGGTAAATGTGGTTATAATTTACATTGCAAAAAATAGCCAACCATGTGCATGAAAAAAAAAAAAACAGTATCTCTGCTTGCACATTATTGGATGATGAAAATCAGCAGAGCTTCACCTAGTTTACTAAGCTAACATTCGTTTGAAGTGAACAGCCTATTTGACTTAGGGGTCTATTCACTAAGCTGCCGTAGGCAGCCGAGTGAATGACCGACCTAAAGCGAAGTGAGCCGAACGCTGTTAGTCTATTCACTTCAGGTTGGTATGACTGATTTCAGCCGTATATCAGCTGAAATCAGCTGTACATCGGGTGGCTTTGCGTGGCTTTGGGTCGGCCGAACATGCTCAGCATGTTCGGCCGACCCGA